TGTAAACCCAAAAATGGAGTCATGCTAATATGTATGGCAATTCTTACGAAAAAAACTATGTGCTTGTAAAAAAGGAACAGGTATCTATTAAAGGACAGGATCAATTTCCTTGATGCTGTGGTTTGTGAGCTATGCTGTATGTATAACAATCATAACTTATCCACAAGCAAAGGCTTATCCATGTATAAGTCTAACTGTGAAACAATCTGTTTTGTACTGAAAATCTGTTTCAGCTTCAATCCTACCTTATTACCTGCTCAAGAAGGGCTTTGAATTGAGGAAAGACAGTGTTGAATGAACTCCAGACAGTCAGAGATGAAGACTGTCATGTGATTTTATACAGAACAAGCTTAGAATAAGTTATTTTATGAAAAACCTCCAAAACCTCAAAATCTATTCTTGAGGAATACACAACCAAAACAAGTTGGAGTATTTGGGTAAAATAATTTCGTCTGGAGATATATTTCAATTTGTCTTTATAGCACATGTGAATTTTGGATTACTGAAATAATGTGGAAGATAGCTGTTAGTCACAATATTGGTTGAAAGCCAATGAAAACTGAACACCCCTCCTCTTGCCAAGAGGAAAGTAAGTAAGGAAATCACTCAGGCCTGTCATACAATTTAAATGATCAACATAAAAATGTTAACACTCACATTTATAAGTAAAAAAATGGCCAACATTTCTAGATTTAAGGTGACCGTAGAAACCTATTTCAAGTTGTTGAATGGTGTCTACAAAATCGAGTTTGACTTCTGCTTCTATGCCATTTTATCCTAGGCCTCCTTGTCAGAGTCTGTTTTCCCACTAACTAACCTTGAGGACTCTCAAAGTTTCTGATGCTTGGCAGAGACTCTGTACACAGCACTTCTTTTTTCCATGCTGGTCTTGCCTATGGCTCTGAAGAATTTGACTGGCAACACCCCTTGCAGAGGGAAGTTTTGGTTAACTCATTCCAGTCTTACTACAATTTTTCCATGAGTTACCTGAAACATCTCCATTTCATAGACACTGTGAAACTCAAAAGCAAAGTAACACCAATAGCTAACAGCCTTACAAGTGAACTCCTGAAAAGCGGGTGATGTCCAGACCATTCAGTGGAACATCACTTAGAAAATATCCTTCACTGTTTCTCAGAGACTTACGGGATTTTCCATGTAACATGTATAAGCACACACAGTCTAGTAAGATACAAATTTTTCCTGTATTATACATAATATAATTTGGGTTGCAATTTCTGAGACTATATTGAATATATTATATCAATGTTCCATTCCTATTTCAATAAATATTGAAATATTTTCTTCCAAGGGGAATGGTATCCAAAGAAAGAATGGTACTGAGTACCTCAATGGCTGCACAATATTCTCAGAAAAAAACAGTGAACCAAGGTAAAAATCCTGCTTCAAATCAATCAGAAAGGGATTTAAATTTGGATTTCACAGATACCACTTGAGTAGCCTAATTATGGTCATATTAAGAAGTGAAGAGGAAAATACCATCTCCATGTGATAATATACACCTATTTTTGTGGGAATCCAGGGCTTCCCTCTGGCTGCCCTGGAGGGCCTGGGACCCTCGCAGGGGGTCAGGAACCCCCCTGTACAGAGCCCCGAGAGACACTGTCTGTGATCTCTGTCCATGGAAAAGTGTTTTCAATCTTACAGGATAAATTACAAGCTCGGAATGTTTGATATGAGTAATAATTAAGTGTGGTACGGGTGCAAAAGCAAAATTTTAGGTTTCTAGATTGGGGGTTCAGAGAGGACAAGATGGAGGAAATTGGGTGTGTCTTGTCCTTTTCCTCCTTCTTCATGCCCTCCATGTTTCACTGTAGTGTTGGCATTTTTCTGTTGGTTTAGGCTGGGGACACACTGTTCAACGTAGGTGATAGATATTAGCATGTTATTGTAAATATAGCACAGGTAGTTTCTGGTATATAATGTTTGTACCATCCCACTGGGGGCAGAGCCCCACACGCTGCCCTGCAGGACAGACCTGCGGCAGGGCAGCAGAACATGTTATAGATAAGCAAGAATAAACAACCTTGAAAACAGCACAGACGAATTATGGCTTCTTCTTTGGCAACAGGGCAGAAAGACAGAGACTTTCTACAATCTCAGAATCACCAATACCCACAGATTCCAACATATTTTGTCTCGAATTAGCTCTTACTTCTAAGTATTTTGTTTAAAAAATGAAACTAAAGACAAAAAATGTTATGATATCAGTTCAATTCAGGCATAAAGCAAATTTTTTTTCTGGTAGAGCCTAGAAATATTGTACTGACCAAAAAAATGTTGCATGTCCATGAAATTGAAGAGGTGAAAAAAAGAAAAGACAAAAAAATACCTGAAAAATACTCTTCCTTGTCACATTTGAGCCATTTAGTGGAAATTTTCTAAATTGTTCAGTCCAAGGCAGGTACCAGAAATGGAAAATTTCAACATAAGGAGTTAACAGTTTGTAAAATTGTTAAGCAACTTGGGACTAATGTCATTTGGTTAAAAGCTGCATGCAGCTTTAGCTAAAGACCATGCTGCTAGCTCCACCTTAAAGATTTTATTTATGCATGCAATAAAGCCAGGAAAGGATGGAGAGACAAAACCTTTATTTGTGAATGAAGTTAGCAATATTAAATTCTGAAAAATGGAACATATTCCTGAACATAAAACAGTAACTTGAAGTAGTGGCTTGGATGCAACTGTTGCACAAAATAAAATATATTGCTCTCAATACTTTACACAAAATAATTTTGGAAAACAGTAGAAGCCACTAAAACCCTAGCTTACCGATGAATCTGTACAAATATTTAGAGATGTAAAGCAGGTAACACAACAAATCTACTGGTAAAGGTTCACATAAAACTTTATTGCCCTGTAGGAAAGTAAAGAATTTTAGGAATCTTTATAATCCTGTTGGGCCTGTAAAAACAGAAACAAAGAGAGGTCAAAGGATCTCAATGGATGGCTAGGTTGCAAAGCATGTGCACAGTGAAATACTTTAATTTCAGAAATTACTTTGGACAACAGGTAATAACTAGACCACTGAAGTATATTGATTCCAGTAAGAAATCAATCTAAATCATTCTAAGTTATAAATTTTATTAATAAGAGTATTATAAATACTATTTCACAATACAGGAAGTCACAATGCACATGCACACCAGCCATCAGCACAATCCAAGTATTAAACTTTCAAAACTCAGGCCTTAGAACAAGGTCAATAGCTTTCTTCACTACTTTTCTAATCAGAGTCCAAAGCATGCAATTCCAAGAAAGCAAGTCCAAATGTCTGAAGTATAAATATTTACATTTTAAACTATTCATGAGAGGAAAGAAGCTGAGCAACCCCTAGTGGTAGCAGAAAAATACCTTCTGGAAAAAACCCAAAAATTTTTACAGGTATTTTCAAAATACATTAATTTGTAAACACAGACTCCTATATTATATGCAGTACCCAAAGCTTATGATAACATTTAGAAAAAACTAAAAGCAAAAAATTATGCATGACTTATAGCTGTTTTCCCCTAGAATTCAATTAGGAAGTGATAATTCTGTTTGATAAAACACTCCAATACAGAAGTCTTAAAATACATGTAAAAGAATATTTTTATATATTTTTCTCAAAGAGAATGTGTTTTGTTTTCTAATTCCAAGATGTTCTAATGCAGCTACTGCCAAATTCAGCACCATCATTTAGGGAGGGATTTGCAAACTCTCAATCAGTGAAATGCAAATGTGATATTGTTAAAAAAAAGCTTAGACTTCTTTGTATTTTTGTAAAGTGGTTATCTAGAATCAGTTTTATCAGCTCTCTTCTATAAATTGTCACTTTCTCTTCCTTCTTTTATGCTTAGAAATAAGAAAGAACACTGCCAGTACAAATTATACTTTCTCTCCATTCAACTTTTTTGAACCTCACTCCAGCTGAGTGAGATTGTCTGTCTTAGCCATCAGCTCAAGATTTTAATGCATAACCATCAGAACAAAGTAGATACAAAGGCAGAGATTAATGCTCCAAGAAACATCAATGCCAAACCATATCTGAACTCTAAAGTATTTCACAAGTTATCCATACACTTGCAATAAAAGGAGAAACCCTTGCTCTATGGCCACCATGATTCCTTGCCTCCAGCCATGACCAAAATAGAGGGACTGGCTTCATGGAGTCCAGGTCATTTCACATACCATGACTCTGGATACCAATAGATACTCTAGAAATAAAAGAATGACCCCCAAAGTATGGGCTCTTTTTTCCCAGAAAATGTAATGTTGAAGACAGTGTTTCCAAAATTACACTTAAGGGGGCACAACTAAAAATCATCTTAGAGCTCAGTTCTTGATTTTCACTATTTCTAAGGTGACTTTTAAAACGGATTTTCAATCGAAAAATTAGTTTAGGCAGAAAAAGCTCATTACTGGAACACCCGCAGCTATTCCAAAGATGATAAAAATGGTTCTCAAGAGACTTGAAGTCAATCTCTAACATATCACCACATACCGTGAAAAAAAAAACCCAACCAACCAAACAAAAAAGTTCCCCAAGATTTCACATGCCATCATAATACTGCTATAGCATATTGTGCTGTCACAATCAGCACAGCAGAATCTTGGTGTGCACTGAAAACCATCAATCTAAGTTCAGAGGTAGCACAAGACTACTGTGATCAACTAATGGCTACCAATGTCAGAGACAAGAAGTCTGACATAGAAATCTCACATTAACAGAGGAAAAAGGACAAAATAACAGGTATCTTGAATGAATTTGTGAAAACATTCTCATAAATATTTTTAAGGATCTCTGACTTCTTACTGGAAAATATGTATAATTTTACTAAAAATAATCTATTGATAAGGCACAGTACAGTGTGCTCTCCTGACTTGTCTAATTGACAAATTTAGCTGAACAAGACTTCCATTTTTATTACGTTAAAGAAACTTCCTGTCACACTTAAAAGCATCTTGCAATGAATCACATGAAAATGAAAATATCATACCTCTAAGCTATTGAGATGCTGTTTTTCAAGGAGCTGTTGCATTTCTTTCAGATTTTTCTGGAAGAGAAGTTGGTGACTATCCATGTCTGTTCTACTGCTCTCCTGTATTGTTTCATCACAGCCAAACATTGCTAAATTATTCTTCTGATGGAAAGAATCACTTCTACATGCTGATGAGGATGAAATGTCATCTGTGGTTCTTGATACAAACAAGAAAATTATTACTTTGTCTTACTTTTATGCATCAACTGTATATTTTAAATATATTTCTTACCAAAAGTATACAACATCAATAAATGATGAAAAGCCTGAAAAATGCTGTTACTACTATCTGAACATGTCCAACACTTTCCATTTTAAAACTTCTTTTCTGTCTATTTATAAATAAAATTTTCTGATTGGGTTATTGGGTGACTGCCTCTGGCTGCATTGGTATGGAAAACGTCAGCCAACAGTTTGGTAATTTCAGAAACAGAACACGGAGGGTTTTTTTTAAGAAAAAGAAGAAAACAAACAGGAAAATGGGCTTTATTTTTCCCTAAAGTTGGCTTATGCAGAGTGTAACTATATTGATGATGTCAGGTATTCCCTTACTTCAAAGAGCTAGAAGGTTTTCTTGTATCCAGAGAGCCCAAATCTACCAATGATATGTAATGTCAGTATTGTGGTATGTTAAAGAATTTGCTGCCTGACAAAAAAAAAATCTTTAGAGTAGCTAGTGTAGTTGGAACCTGTGACTAGCTCTTAGCTGGTGATACATGTTTCATATATGTACAGAAATTCAAGAACCTATTTTCCTTAATTTCTGTACATTTTTTCAGCTTAAGGTTCTTCTTCTGAGCCTTCTCTTCTTGCACCTAAAATTCTCCCTTTTCTTTTTAGTGGATGCGGGTAAATAATCTAGTAAGAGTTTATTTTTTTTTTTTTTCCCTGTATTTATCATGACACTTAAAATTTTAGGTCAATGGAAAACGGAAACTTTCAAACCCTTAAGATTATTGTTATTTTTCAGGAGATTTTATACAAGACTACATAAAACATTGGCTTAATTGCAGTGACCTAAGGAGTGTGTAAAATGGAATTTATTATTTCTGATGGGATGGCTGACAGCAAATAGGGAGAACAAATTCACATATTTATTTATTGAACATGGAAAACTGCATGCTGTTTTCTTTTGAATGGCTATCCCAAAACTTTTTTGTTTTTGTGGACCAGACTGACCGACAACTGGCACTCAAAAATCTGGATTGTTGGCTTTTTGGATACAAACAACTTTCTTTATATTTATTTGAGTATTTAGATAATTCATATCTATAAACATTTCTACATGCTTAGACCATTTATATTTATAAAAGTTTCAGTGGTCTAACTTTTCCATAGACAATTTTTGATTTGTCATATTGAAGTTTATATCCCAAGACTCACCTTTATCTAACATTATAATTTTAAACACCAATAGGGAAATATATCTTGTAAAAAGAGCAGTATGCCATTTACACACCTAATGTACAAACATCCCTGTGTCTGTTAGCTAATGAGTTCTCCAAAATCTTTACTCTAGCATTCAATAACTAAACCCTACTAGAAGCAAAATGGAACTACAGCAGCATGGAATACACTTATTAGGTGTTTCAGGACTTTTGCTTTCTCCAAGAGAAGTTAATATGTCACCATTGCTTCTTGTTTAACACCTTTTAAAGGACAGACAATATGAATCCTAGAATATTTTAAAATTCACAGATATTCACTTGGGTCTGGAGCTATGTTTATATTGCGTACTTATTAAAGTACTCATTTCTTCCTTTAAGAGGGGACTGTCAATTCTAGGCATTCTCTTTCTGAGGAAGGGCAAATTCTAAAGATGACACAAGATTTTTGGCTTCAGCATTTATAAAATTGTAAGAAACAGAATAGGTATCTACTACTTCATATGAGTTAGATATTACCCTTCCAAAAATTTCCAATTAAAGGGATTATAAGAAATGTTTAAAGCTTTACATCTCAAAACTAGTGACTTCTTAAGAACTTCCACTGTTCAGAACCTTCTCAAAATGCTCTTCTGTTATATCTGTACTAGCTGTCTTATGACCTCCCAACAGGTCATAGTGCACTCAACTTTTAAGCCTTTCTGATGCTGGAGTCACTTATTTTCCTTTTTTTCCATTGAGCAATTTCTAAGTTCAAACTTACAGAAACATATTAACTTCAAGATTCTTAGCTTTCTCTCAAATTTGGTTATGAGGGGAAAACAAACTGTAAATAGTATGAACATGTAAATATAATTTCCTTAGGAAAACAGGTTAAGAAGATGAAAACCAGAAAAAGAACACACTATCATTATTAAAGGATAGTAAATTTTTTACATTATACAAATAAAAATGGAGTGACAGCATTGTAAGAAATGGTAAGTGGTTTGTACAAGTCCTGAGATACCAATGTGTTGCACAAGAAGCAGTTTGAAAAAAGTTGAAAAATAAGGAAAAAAATTATCAAGGCAGTGAGATGCTGTCCTTAATGAAGCCTATGAGTAAAATGAGAAAAATTATCAGAAAACCTGAGATAGGTTTCAGAATCATCTACATTTTTTGCTATAAATGAAACTTAGGTTTAGAAATTTACTTCCTTTGATCATCAGAATGAACAGGAATGCTTACCTGAAGTTGATTTTGTTTATGTTTTGCAAGCACAGTCCTGGTGTTAAAACTGATCCTTTAATTTGTTCAAGAGCTTCTTCTAACTGAAAAGCTGGTTTTGTCTGAACTGGAGGGATCAGAGATAAAAACACACAGTGGGGAAAGAGTTATTTAAAATTTGAATATTTTACCATAAATGGTTTGGTTAAGTTGCTGAAGTTTGGACAGTTACAATAAACACAGTAATTTAGCATTATTAGACATGCAAGAGCACCTTGAGTTCCTCTGAAACAAAATCCCAGTCTATTTAAGTGTTTACAGTCACACATGTATTCAACAGTTTTGCTATTTGCTTTTAAACTGCACTGTTGAAAAAATACGAGTTTAAAAAAAATCTAACTTTGTTTTTACATTATGACTATTCCACTCATGCGCTAAACCAAAGTTATGGCTTGCATATCTTTTACAGAGGCCAAGTTGTAACTTAATAATTGAACCAGTGGGGAAAGAAGAAGTCCAGACAGGCACAATGTACTGCCATTTTCAAGTGAGTATAAGTAGGACAGAAAGTAGCAGAGGCAAATTTCTATAAAGGAAAACCAAGAGAAAAAACTGATTTCTTCTATTGCAACACAGTCTGGGCTGCCAGTACAACTACGAAGAAGCCCTAAACCAGTACTGTTCTATTTTGTTATTTTAATCTGACATTTGATCTTGAAGTCAGAGACATTACCTCACAGCTGGCACAACTGCAGTTGGGAGAGTAAATCTGTTAAAGAATACCTAAGTAATAGACCATATCTTAAGTATTTGAACACTGGAAAGTTGACGGGAAATCAGACTTGGCCAATGCTGTTACAAACTCCTGCCAATCTGCACTGATTCCAAGAAAGCGGGAACTGAGCTGAAGTGATTATTGCTTCCCAGCAAGAGAACAGCTTAGAAAGTGGACTAATTCAGAAGAAAAAACAAACAAACTTATGTACTATATTAATATATGCTAGGACTGCATTTACTTAATGACAAACCAAATGCAAATTTTGGACCATTTTATATTCAAAAGTTCAAAGAGGGGATCATTGCACTATCCTAGTAACTGTCAGTGGCTTTGTAACACCCCTCACCCAGCTGTGAAAGCACAGTACTGCGACCAATAGGCACACTGCAGTCAAAAAAGTGGGGAAAACCCAGGAAGCCACAATACCTCAAGTAGGTCATGTACTTACTGTGACTGGAATATAGTGAAATATCTCACAATACAGTTTTTAGGAAAAAAAAATCTGTTTTTATTTCCCCTACCCAATTGGCATATCTATTAGATCTGAGCTTCTTGTCAGTTGTTTTGCTTTTGTGAATTCAATTATTTTGAGTGAAGTCAATTGTTCTGTTTGCTAATAGAAAAGACTAATGGCCTCCAGAGGCCCCTTCCAACCTTAACTATTCTTTGATTCTGTGAATATAAAAATACTTGCATTGTGAATAACAGTTAATTCACAAACCTTTTTGTTTCTGCTGAGAAAAGGATTGATGAGCATGTTGGAACTTAGCAGTTGCCTCCTGAAATTTAATTCTCCTCTGCTGCAGAACTTGTTCTCTAAATCTTTTTTCTTTTGCTTCTTCTTCCTTCTGTCTTTTTTCAAAGGCTCTGTATTTAAGAAGCCAAAGTAGATAATTCCTATGTTTATGAATTACATTTAGTGAAATACTAGTAACTTGCTTACCAACTTGCTATTTTAGTACACAAGCTTGCTTGTCCATAAATTAAATGCTATTAACTTCAGCACAGCTGGATTTTTAGAGTTTGTCGGAACGTAAATGGGACAGTGGGTGATGAAGAAGAATCACAACATATTTTAATTTCTTAGCCTCAACCAGGGATTTGATTCTTTTTTATATGTGAATTAACATGCAAACCTGACCAGTTCTTGTCACCAATGTGTCTTTTACAACAGCCTTTACAGTACCACATAAGTGAGTCACAGTGAGCAGATCAGTAGGAAGGTTAATAGCAAATGCTCTGTGTGTACTTTTCACAAGCTGTTGGGGAAGTAATAACAGTTTAGAAGTTGTTATTTAGAAATAACACAAAGGAACTACAGCTATTATTTATAAATATGCAAAAGTATTTTGTTGTAGTTATTAAGAAGCTTCCTGAAAGACAATCAGTTTAGCAGCACAAAATGGGATAAAACAGTAACACGAAATTATAATTGACAGAATCTGTTATTATTAAAAAATACATTAAATGTGTCCTCTCACTGGTTGGAAAGAAAAGCAGGCTCTAGTCAAAGACAACCATCATCACAAAAGTTTCCTTCAGTAGGTGTGAGCTTCATGAAGCTATGTGGAATCTTTTCTCCCGCTGACAGAATCATCAACTTTTACTGACAAACTAGCTCCCAGAGTGAAATACCCAGAATATTTACTGGCACAGTGCCTATGTAGGCAAGTCATATTTAAAGGTTTTAAACTAAAAGAGGGTAGAATCAGACTCAATATAAGGAAGAAATTTTTTACAGTGAGGTTGGTGAAACACTGGAGCAGGTCGCCCAGAGAGGTTGTAGGTGCCCCATCCCTGGAAACATTCTATTCTAAAAGCAGTAATACTATAAAAGTAATGGTCTTCATGTGAAACTTCCAAATCCTGCCATGCAAAGATCACTACAGCTGGGAGCTTCCCATCTGCGTATTAGAAATGTGATTTAACAGGTCACTAGTACACTAAGAAGGGTCCCCCTTTAGCCAGCATTAGTGGAAAGTTTAGCCAAATGTTCTTTGTTTCTCCCATCACAGTAAGATACCTTCCCAAAACTCTAATCACTAGCAGTTACTTCATAGTTCTTCTTGCTTAATGGAGCAAAGCTGCTACTTCACAGAGCTCCTCCTTAATTCAAGCTTTTAAAATTATTCTTCCCTTTGCTTTTCAGGGAAAAAGTTCAAACTGAAAAAATCAACTTGACCTAGTATCCCTTCAAAGTGATGACCTGTGAAAACAAACACAAAAATAATTTGAAATAGGTACTTTTTATTTTAGAAAGCTTAAAGGCACAATAGTAAAAAAATAGAAAAACTGCCAACTAATTCCTAAGTACACACTTATACAGGAATATCCACTTTAATGCACTTGGAAGCCAAAGCGTAGCAGAGAGAGAGAGACAAAGAATTTTCACTCTTTTCAAAACTCATATATACATACCTGTCAAAACATGTTAGAACTAAAGAGTAGAAGTAGAGTTCATTGTCCACTTTCAATATTCCTGAATTTTACTCACTGTAAAACCTAATACAGAAATGTGCAATTTTATCTTGACTAAATGAAATTCACAGGAGAGGAAACAGACTTGCTTATCCTCCTAATTATTTTAAACACTTCTTCTTGATGCCCTTTGATACCTCTAGAAGCTGATCAAGAAGGCCTTTAGTTGAACTATAGTTGTTAAATTCAGACATGTGGGAAATTCTACAACTTTACACCTGGAGTAATTCCAGCATATAACTCCAAAATGGAAAAAAATCAATTCTGACAGAGTGTTTTTTTCTGATTATTTTGAATATGGCTTAGCTGCTCTCTTCCACATTCCTAATAATGAGCATTAAAAAAGGACTGTTCTTCATATAGCTGGGAATGAGCAAGTCCAAATCCTGATGCAAGAGGTCTTTTTCAGCACAGCTCATCATGATCAATATTTGGTTTGGATTAAGATAAGAAGGAGAAAAAAGGATCTTACTTTAATGTAAGGAAATGCATTAAAGTTATTCAGTGAAGCCTTATTAACTTCCTGACCTCACAGAATGTAAATTGTAACACTCAGGTTCATTATGCAAAAATGCACATTTACATCTTACAGAAAAACAGTTAAAGCAAACATTTGTTCATGTGCTCTCCTTAAGTCACCAGCTTAGGTTCATATCACAGATGTACCATTGGCAAAAGAGTATGGCTTTAAGATGGATAGTTAGCAGAAGAATTTCCTGACTGGTGTTTTTTTAACCCAATTTTTCTGTCTACTATAAACAACCCAGTGGTGCAGCAATTTTTGAAATGGCTGCCAAAATATTTATAGAGAATTTGGAACACAAAACTTAAAATACTTAGCTGTCTCACATATACAGACATTATGTGGAAGGCATTTTTATGTTAAAAACAGTAAGTATGACTAGATGGTAGAACTATTTCCTGGTTAATTTTATTACATTCTCTTCACAGTGAAGTGATAGATGCTACATTTTCAGGTGGACTAAATGCTTACTACTGCATTGGATGAAAATGATAATTAAAAAATGAATACATACAGTGTGTATGGAGTGCTATGAAATGAAAGTTTTTATTATTCTTCCATTGCCGCATCATGTTGCAAAACAGTGCACAGTAATTTTAAAATTGAGGCAGGGAGATATTTGTATGGTCAATGATGAAGAAAAGGCTAAAATGCAGTGTCACACTCAAAATTTCCTTCATGGGCAAACAGGAAGCAATCTTACATCCTTAAAAAGATCTGTGGACATTGCCCAGAAATCAACTTTTTTATCTAAGACATTTCCCAAGATCAGGAACAGAGATTAAATCTATTCCTTTATCTTTGATTATTGTATGCCGAATCTAAAAAGACAGCCTGAAATGCGAGAGCTTCAGAAGGACCAACCCCTACAATGCTGTATGGACTCACAGAGGGCTGTCCTGCAAATATGCCCCAAAGGTCCACAGGTGGGCTGCCTGCACTATATACCAGTTGTCACATGCCAAGTCTCGTTCATAGGCAAAACCCAAGCACACCTTATTAAGTCAAGCATTTTTTTTTTGTTAGTATAATTCAAATCTTAAGAGTCCAATTATTATGACTCCAGAATTGTTACTGAAAAATAATAATATTGTTAGAATACTTCTATACAGAAAAAGGCTCAATAATAGTGATATACAATTTGAACAGTTATTCATATATTGAGTTTCTATCCCTTTTCCTGATGCTCATTCTTGCATTGCTCTTTTGCATCCCAAGGCTTCTGTTTGTGCTGGAGTGTTAAGGTGAACAGGCAGCATCAGGAGTCCCTTCAGCAGGACCAACAGGATCTTCATGTAAATGCTTTTTCTCCCTCACTTTAGGATCCATTTGGAGTAATTTCTGTATTTGCTAATACACATTTACACCTCTGCTCTATCATCATCAGTTTGTAGCTCCACAGTACCTCCAAATATTCCATACATGGTGCCTTCTATGTATGTGATATACTGTTCTTTTCTTCTCTTTGTTACCTCTAAAAGCCAGGTTTGTCAGATGTAGTTCTGCACTTTTTTAGCTGACTATTGGTGAGTATAGCCATGGGGTCTCCAGTGCCAAGCCTGTGTGCCATCTCTCACCATTCCCTGCCTGTATTCCTCCATGCCACATCCTACACCTCCAGTTTTTAAAGCCTCTGTTACCATACCAGGCCTGCATTTCTCTATACTACTTCATGATTTTAGAGTCATAAATATTTCATCCTCTGCATAGAATAACTGCTTGTTACTGCTATCTAGATAAAACTATGGTCATACAATAAAAAGATAAAGGCAAAATTAGCCACAGACACCTGGTCTTTTAGAGAAATTGCTGTTACAGCTAAACCAAGCAAAACAAAGCTGCTGTCAGGTCAAGAAAAGTTCAAAGAGAGCAAGTTTGGCAAGCATCTATTCCAAGGCCTTGCTAATTCAGCACAATCCTGTGGCTCACTATCAAAAATGGCAATACTGCATTTCAAGTCCACATCATAGTGGTTACAGTGATCGCCTACTTCTCACAGTTCCATTCTGATGTAGAAAGAAATACAAAATTAATACTCTGCCTTCTCTGTTTACCAAGTGCTGACATTGTTCTTGTATTTCTGGCCACAGACTGCTTTTCATTCTTGATCAACAAAACTGGTGAATAATTTAAAGAGCATTAAATAATTAAATAATCAATGTTAATCAGCCAGTAGGTGGAGCACACAGCTTGTGCATATGTTGAAAATAAAGTATTACAGAAAGAACAATAGATTGGGAATAGATTGGAAACAGATATAGATGTCCTTCCCCAGTTTCAACAGACAGATTAGCTATTTCAAGGTAATTCAAAATGCTGAACCAAGACAACCAACTCTAAGGTTTATTTTACAACGCACATAGTGCAGACAGTAACATCACAGTAAAATGGGAAACACATTTTGCACTGAGCAGTAACAGCACAAATTCTATAGTCCCCAGCAAACGTGACAGCTGGTATTTAGAAAGCAGCATGTTATAGAAACATAAAATATGATATCCTATTCATTTGCATTAAGTATGTGCTTAGTCAGTAGCTCTTATTTCCAGAATGCTGTTATTTAAATAAAGTATCTGCCAGCTAGTGCCCCAGAGAATATTTGATTCTTAATCTGATCTTGAAATTGCAACTTCATGTATCAGTGAGACAATAAAGAAACTACTTTCTTGATACTCAGGCAACTTGTAAAAACTGCAGGCTAGGGTATTTTGCTGTGTTGAAGTACTGTTGTTAACACAGAACTAAGGAGCTTGGTCAGTACAAGAGATGCAAAGAAACAGTTGACATCAGGGGGATTGAAAAGGATCTGAAATTTAAATTACTGAGACTTTTATTTCCAAACCTATCCTTTCTCTTTTTGAGCAAATGATGATTTTGGTTTTTACTACTAAACCAATTAACTGTGTACAGCTTGTAGAAGTTGACTATTTTTGATGCTGAAGGTGCTGCATTATAGAAGTATTCACAATAAACCAACAGTAGAGTGTCAGGGAAAATCTCACTACAAGTATATATAGAAAAGGTTGAAAATAGAAGACCTCAATCTGCTAGAATCTTTTAGTACAGCCTTGTTTAAAGGAGGCCTGCTAGTGGTTCCTGAAAAAAATCACAGAAAAATTTTCCTCCACAAAGCAACATAAGAGAATGAACCTAAATAACACAAGATTAAAGAGAGAGCAGAAACTCTTCTATATCTTCACGAGTGCTTCATCCTAAAGGGAATTAACTGCTTTTACTTTTTTAGTAGAAAATTTATAAACTTAAGGTTGACACTAAATTTGGTTAAGCTTGATCAACTTCATAAAATTCTACAAAGAAATGACAGTTCTGTAGATGAGAGGAGAGCAGTAGATATTTTCTATCTGGACTTTACTAAGGCTGCTGGTACAGTGTCCCCTATGATCCTCATAAACGAGACGCTGCTGAGAGGCTGAATAAGCTGTGAGTGAGGTGGAATGTAAACGTTCTGAATGGTCAGGCCCAGAGGGTGGTGATTAGTGACACAAAGTCCTAATGGAGGCCAGTACATAGTGGTGAACCCTAGAAGTCAGTACTGGGTCAAATTCTCTTTAACAACTTCATTAAACATAGAAAAGTAGAATCATTTGGGTTAGAAAAGATCTCTGGGATCATCAACTCCAACAACAAGCCCAGCACGGCCAAGTCCACCACCAAACCACATCTTGAACCACTCTAATTGGCAGCTTTTTCCAATGCTTGACAACCATCTTCATGAAGAAAATTTTCATAGTACCCAATCTTAACTTCCCCTCATGCAGTTTGAGGCCATTTCCTCTCATGCTATAAAACTTGTTACTTGAGAGAAATGACCAACCTTGTTGCAAAGAAGGTCAGTGGTCTCCTGAACTGCACTACGCAAAGCCTAGCAAGCACACAGAGGAAAGGGATCCTTTCCCTCTGCTCAGCACTAGGCAGGCCACAGCTGAAGGAATGTGTCCAGCTCTGGGCTCCTCAGTACAAGACACACCTGGACAGACTGGAGACAGTTCAATGAAGGGCCACAGAGATGATGAAGGGACTGGAGAATCTCTCTAGGAGGAAAGGCTGAAAGATCTGGGACTGTTCAATCTGGAGAAGAGAAGGCTCAAAGGAACCTTCTTAATGTCTATAAATACCTGGAAGGAAGGTGCAAAGAGGAGACAGCCAGGCTGTCTTCAGTGATGCCTGCTGACAGGACCAAACTGAAACACAGAAGTTTCCTTTAGAGTATCAGGAAACGCTTTTTTTTTGGTAAGGATGACAGCACTGACACAGTTTGCCCTGAGAGGTTGTGGAGGATTGTCCTTCCTGAGTGGAGGTGATCAAGAGGTCCCTTCCTAACTCAACCATTCTATGTGAAGGTTAGAGGTAGAAAACGGACTGTCACACCTCACAGTGCACTCATTCCTAGTCTCCATATAAAATATGCAAAAGATACAAATTTTCTTTTGAAATCATACACTAGCAGTGCCAAGAACACTCCTGATACACACCTGTAAGCCCTGGCAGGGAGAATTTTGTGCGCTGCCAGATGAGAATGTGGAGTTTAAGAACGTCATGCTACTCTCGAGAAACCATCATCTTATCTAACATGTGTAAGAAAGCTAATGGAACTTGGATCATATAGACTTGAGACACAACCTGAGGGTTGATCAATCAATTCCCACCTGCATAAGTGCCAGGAAAAATACGTAGATTCAAAGAACTTTATTTTCAAATTACTTTCCTGCACACATGCAGCGACCCTTCATTTTTAATTATCTATGTCAGAGCTTATAACATTGTATGCATTTTCTACCTTTTTAACATTAACTAACTCACTCCTTTTCAGTTATTAGGAGAACACTTGTTACCACACACTTCCATTTGAACTGCTTATTGTGCTAATAATTATGCCATTCTCAATTATCACAACTTGAAACAACTTTGTTTTATGAATACCATACCCAAATTTCTAAGTGACTCACCTGAGTAACTTGGATTTATACTGTGTTTCTTAAGGCTGCAATGAAACCCATATGGAAATGTATTTATGTATCCATGAGTATTACTTTAACTACACCAGTCTGTCAAAAATATGCAGGCTGTCTGGTACTTGCTTTTACATTAGAGTATAATATTTCAAGACCAGTAATACAATAAACAGTGTTCATCTGAGATGTGTAGCATTGCAGTGGTTCTGTTCCAGAAAAAGAAATTAGGTATTTAATTTTTCAACTGAGACACAGTTTATTATCTGCAAAGGTTGTGGGTCGCACTCTGTCTTTAATTACTCACAGTTGATTATATCTCCTCTTCCATTTTTCTTTTTATTTCAAAGGGTAAGCTGATAGCACATACTGTCAGGCTAAAATGGCAATATAAACAATAAATACCTCCTCTCTTATGAGTTATGAACATATGCAATAAGTGAACATTGTACAACAGAAGTCATCAGATAAGGGAACTGCGGGGCACAAGCATTAGTGAGTTAACAAGAGGCAGAGGAAGCTGGTCTGACGCTGGGGGCTTGCAAGGAGGAACCCATCTGCCTCTCCAGTACACACAGCTGAGCCCCCTGTATGTGTGAGCACCACCTCAGTCCTAGGGGAAAAACCTCTATGTCCATTAAACTACTCACAGCACTTCACTGAGACATTTCAGTGCATAACTTACTCAATCCATTTGCCACAGAATATTTCATGGTTTTGCATTCTCATGTATGCAGAAGACAGATTACTCAAAGCTCTGTTTAAAATGTCAGTAAAAAATAAGTTTATTATAAGTATTATCTTGTATAAGAAAAATGTTGCTTTGTGTTTATTGGGAAGTGGGAGCACAAAGCCTCGGCATGAAGGGGAGGCTGAACAGCTGTTACGCCATGCAGACAGAAAAGCACACACTTCAGAAGGCAACAATTGCCTTCTGCTGGCCCACCCGGTACAGCTGAGTGCATTTTTCATTCATACATTGAAGCTAATAAAACACAGAACACTAGAAATGCAGATCAGAGCCACAAGATGAAAGTACTACTTACCTTTAGTTTATATGAGATGTGACTACAGTGAGTTTTCAAAAATTGGTGAGCAAATCAGAATATTGCTCTTTTTATTTTATTTGTCCTATAGCAAGAAACTGGATTGGTGAAACTTTTCAGGTTAGATTCCTCTAGGCCAAAGCAGTGAGCTATTTATCAAAGTGAACATGAAAGTAGTAGAGATATATTAATCTGTCTCAAGGTTATGACTCCTTTTGCTTTGGTTTTCTCTTTTTTTTACAATCCTCCATTAAAGGAACCCTAGTTACTTGCCTTCTTCTTCTGTTTGTCTCCATCAAATATTTCATTGCCTTGCTCCGATGTATTTTTTGATCCTCTTTCAATGCCCGACGTTCTTCTTGTAAATCCTGTTCAAAATTAAATATCAAATCTCCACCCCTAAGACTGTGTTAAGGACAACAGAAACTGGATGGAATGGCTCATTAAAAGATATAATAGCCTGTGTGATTGACCTTATACAGAGTAGGTCCCATAATTGTATGTTACAGTCATAACTAACTTTATGCTCATCTAGAAAAAAAAGTAATTGCACTTTACTTTTAAAAAGCATTTTAGGAGAAGCTTTACTTTCATCTTTCATGATACCACCAGCTGAAAAATCCCACCTTTATCATGTTCATTTGAAGGGACATTTTGTGTAGTTACTTAAACCAGTAACGTAAGGATGCAGATATGAGAAGGAAAATGTTAAATAGTAAATGTTAAATAGTAAATGTTAAATAGTAAATGTTAAATAGTAAACACCCCCTCACACATACACTCCCACACCCTAAAGGATTAGTTGTTTACACTGAAATTGATTAATTAACATCACTACATAAAAGCTCTCCAGAGAGCCAGATCAGTCCTGCATCATGCCAGTAATTATTTACGTAGTACTGTGCAGGCAGATCTTAAGAGTTTGTGTCAGTAGTTCTTACTACTAAAATTCAAAAAACAAGAACCCACAAGTTAGGATGGAAAACACTATACTTAGTGGCATAATCTCCCAAAAAAGGGAAAACAAGAAAACTCCGAAGTGGCTGGAGCAGTCAACTTTCCCACGGCAGTTTAAAACCCGCAACGTGCAAGTTCTAATTTGAAGACACCCCTGGGGCGGTCCCTGACCGCGGAGCAGGGCGGAGGCTGCGACATCGCCGCCCGGCCCCGCCACCGCCCCGCACGGGCCCCCCGCGGCCGCGCGGCCCCGGCCCCCTCCGCAGGCTCGGCCGGCCCGAGAAACGCCCCAGCAAGGATACACAGGGACGCTCTGCCGCCCTCCCGCGCGGTCCTGCGGGGCCCCGGGCAGGAGCTGCCCCCGCGCCGCCCCGCCGGCCTTCCCGCCGAGCTCCATGCAGCGCCGGGCCCGCAGCGCCGGGCCTGCCCCGCCGCGCCGCTCCGCGCGTCCGCCGCGCCGCGTAGCAACCGGCGGCGCCGCTTCCCTCGCAACGGGGCGGGGCCGCGGCGGGAGGGAGCGGCGTGGCGGAGAGGCCTCGGCTGCTCCGCATTCGCTGCCTTCGAGGCTGGCGCAGGGGCAGGGCGGGCCGGGAGCCGCCTCGCACGGCAGTCTTTATCGGACCGAACTCACTTTCATGGCAAGCCGTGACACGGTGCCAGGGTGGGAGCCACGGGTGCGAGTCGCTCCTCACTGTCCCGTCCCGGCGGGAGAGCGGTGCCGGACACCCTGCAGGGACGGTGCTTGGCTCCCGCTGCGCTTTCCGTCCTCTGCAGAGCGGTAAACCGCGGGATGACCTCTAAAAGCCCCAAACACACGGGGGCCGAGCGAACGCGTTCTCGTGGGCAAACACCGCCCCGGCTCCGTGTGCGGGCTTTGCAGAGCTCTGCGGTGCGGGTGCTTGTTGAAGACTTGGAGATAACACCATAAACTTTTTTTTTTCTTTTTAAACGCAGGATGCAGAAATAACAGCAACAACCACCACCAAAGATGTTTTGTGCATCAGTTGATGCACAAAATGATGACTGTTAAGAAAAAATATTTACAAGTCCATGAATATAGCTACACAAAGAACAACAACAACAAAAAAAAAACCAACAAAAAACCCCAAACCAACAACAACAACAACAACAACAACAAAAAAAGAAAAAACTCAGTTTGTTCTTATGACTACAAAACCTTTTGTTTTCCCTTTTATTTTATTTTCTTTTTTAAGCAAAGCAGGGTGTGTTGTCTTGGGATATTGCCCTGCTTTGGATGAGCTGTCAGCAACAGGCTAAATGCCTTGGTGATTTCCTGGCGAGACATTTCTTGGCTGATGTATTTGAGCTTAAACCAATTCTTCTTTTTTTTTTTCTTTTTTTTTTTTTTTTTCAGTGTGCAGCTGTTCTATGTCTTTGACTAGGAAGGTAAAAAAAATAGTACTCCGCATTTGTAAAATACTTTTCTCCACAGACCCCTCCCTCATATTTGTAGCACAGTTTGGGAAGTGGGTGTTGCTGTTACCATTTTATGGTCAAGACCAGTGGTCGGCAGGTTGCCAAATGTGTTTAATATTTATAGTATCCCAGTTACTGCCATTTAGAAGATCACCCTAAAATGGAAGTCTTTCAACTCTGCTTCAGAAAATCAACCCAAAATTCACCATTTCTTTGCCCCATCTGTTCTGTTTTGTTGCAGAATGGGGAAAAGTGGTTGCCAATTTACCACTGTAGGCTTTTCAACCCACACATACACTTAAAATCCCACTTTGCCTGATAAAATGCACTGTTTCTTTTAGGTTGCAGTAGAAGGCTTTATCAGGATGGAGAACCGAGTCACCCAATCAGAACTGAGACAGAGCTGGGAAATGGCAGAATTTGGGCCCATGTCACATCACTTCAACCTACAAGATTGAAGGTCATGGTCAACTCATGCCACTGACAGATTTTGAGCTTCCTTAGATTTGCTGAAAATTTTCATGTAGTACAGCACAACTTGCAACTTCACCTTAAGATATCTACTGAGGTTCAGAACTTCCTCAGTGTTTATATATATTTCTATCTTTCTCTTGTTTACTTTTTTATTAAGTCTTCATAGTCCTCCTTTATGGTTATTGGATAATTTCTCCTCATGAGTAACCTCACATCTTTCAGACTGTGGGACAAGAAGGTGACAAGCTGAGTGCCATGTAATTCAGAAGTGTATGATTATTCTGGGGCAGCAAGAAACCTGATCTGAAGTAGTTACAGAATGGAAGGTCCTGCTCTGGCAGCTAGTTTGAAAGAAGTTTCATAAATTTTGCTTTGGGCTGGACACTGATATTCCAGTGAAGGATAAGATCAGCTTTTAAAACTTTGAGGGATGTATTCTGAATTTATTACAAGTCTTATTTGAAGGCTGGAGCATAGCTGTGCTGCTGCAGGAACGCATTTTTCTTTCCTTCTTGTTCCAGTGGAGGATTAATCTGCTGATGCTCTATAGTTTTTCTTCAAGCTGTGTAGGCAACTGCATGGGAGAAAATAATGTTCTGACTATTTTAACCATTCCTGCCTGAAATTTGTCACTCTGTCTATTGATGTACATAGAAAGAGGAAGAAAAACTGTTAGCTTGCCCTTAATGTAGTATATAGAGAGCTATGGAAATCTTTTCACATTTTTCCTGAGACTGAACTAATGATCACAACCTGCATCTTCTTGAGAGAGCATCAACTGATGCACTAATTAAACCCTAGTAATTCTCACATTGGAAAACTATTATGTACCATGTGGTACTTTAGGAAAAAAAAATAATTTTGAGAAATACAGAAGAGCCAAAGTTGCTCAGAATTTCACAGGCGATTCAATATACTCCTCTCAGTTACAGGTTCTTAGTGCCACTAAGCTATTAATTTTTAAAGAAAACATTGGATTAAAAAGTTTATTAATCCCCACTCCCAACAAATATTGGTTGCTCCCAACAAATCTTAGTAGGAAAAGTTATTTCTAGTGTATTCCATCTTTAGATAGAGGTGGAGATTAATCACATTATCAAGCCAAATTTGGAACATTTTCTTCCAGTGTAACATGCAGGTTAACACTGTATTTTAAAGATCCTTTAGACAGTGTATTTCCCAGTGGTACATTGCAAGCAGAGATTTCATTTATTCAGCCAGATCACAAACAATTTAAATTATATAATGTGTCTAAATTTGACCTTTCTGAACTTTTTTTTTTTTTTTTTTTTTTTTTTTGCTTAGACTGTCAGATCCAGTTTTAAGATACAAAAGTAGTGGAATTGAATGAAATCTGTAAATGCCTCATAGTTTTAATTAAGCTTCTGTGGACTACATTTAATTTTCTTCTTTTTCATGCCATTCTCTTGTACTTTGACTTTTTTCAGGGATAAAAATCATTTTACTTAATGACAGTCTCAGTACCTGTGTTACAATGGGTGGGCTACCAGTGAAACCAGCATACTGCTATTATTCTCCTGGTAAAAGATTTTTTATGTAATACAAAGTACTAATTTAAAATAATGTCTATTCAGTTCTCTATTTTGAAATTACTTTGATGACATATTCCAAAACTGCCTCCACAGCCTGTTCTAGTGCACTACCACCACAGCAGTACAGACTCTTTCATTTTAATGATAAAAAAACTTGGTAAAAATTCGAAAACATCAAGTGATACTAGTCTTTCTTTCAAGCAACCCAGAACACTCATGCCAAATATACAAAAATGCTCAAGAATAGCATAGAAGAAAATCTGTCAGAGTTTATGACAATGAAAATATAGTGTTTGATGTGTCATGTAGAGGTGATAAGCTGTAATTTTCCTTCAGGATTCAAGTAGTAATATATAAAATCTACTGTGCAGTTCAAATGTGGTTTATTAAATCCAGGCAGTAAAGGAGTGATGTGTTGGCTGCCCTTTGTGCTGTAGACATTCCCAAATAGTTAGATCAGGCCTTCATAGTGTACAATTCTTTCCACAGAAATTTGAAACCCATCAAAACATTTGCATTTCTTCAAGTAAAAGATGAACCACCACTTTAGGGTAACTTCATTTATTTGTCTTAATATTTTTTTGTTCAGTTTAGGAGAGACTGTAATAAATAATGGCGAACCTTGTTCACCTAAGGTAAGATTTTCTATTACTTTGTTCAGATAAGGTAATGAATGTAACTGAATGATTTATCAGAAAAGTGGCAGATGTTTTAAAAATATGGATTGCCTTATTCAAGATTGATATGGAAATACAAAAATATCAGGTATTTTCAGATAGAGAAAAGAAACTACATTGAAATTGCAGGAATTCAGAATATTAGAACATTTTTGAGTCCTGTATCACAGCTCAGTTGTTATGTCATATTTTTTATCTCATCTGCATGACTTTAAATGCAGAGTAACTATTGGTTTTGGCAGAGTTAGTTTTTGCTTGAATTGCCAAGATCAGATTTAATTGCTTGTTTCATGTTGGCTTTTGTTAAAGATAAATATTGATTAAAAATGTTTGCTTAACAGTGTTTAATTGAACATCTGGTGAGTAGCTGTGATAGCCCTGAAACTAGCCATACTTTCAAGTGTTCTATTTATAAGTTTCTAGAGATCTGTTTATAACCCTTGCATAATTTTTCTTTCTTTATTTTGTGCTTATTTCAAAATTAAAGAAACTTATTCTTTTACTTCTCTGTCATTCTCCTGGCACAAAATGCAAATGTATTAGTAATTCATAAACCTTTTCTTGTAAAATTTCTTTGTATAACAGTTTTATGTAATTTTTACTTTCATTTTTTAAGAGCAAAAATCAGGGGAAAAAACCTTGTTCAGTGCTTGCTGGTGTAGTACCAATTGCAGAAAGAGAAAACTGGAGCAGAAAAGAACAACCATGATGAAGATGTATTCAAGTCTAAATAACTTTTGTTTTTCATTAAAATCTTGACATTTCTAAAGCATCCTATTTACATTTGAAAACACAATGTATAAACATACTACAAATGATTTGCTGAGATGATGAAATCATCAAAGACTCTTACGAAAATATGTTGCTTAGTCTTTTGACAATGACACATATTTTGGGAATTACTTTTAATAATATATTTAAGTGATGATTCAGAGGCATTCCCTTATTTTATGTCATATGGCACCATGGAAGAAAAATTATTAAATATGGAAATAAAATTTTAAAATAACAGTAATAGGTGGAACTACTTTTACTAATGCTAAGTCCCATGAATACTGTCCCTTTATTATTTCCCCTATAAGAACATTTAAAATATTGTTTTACTGCTGAATTGTTCTGCACATCTTCTCATGACTGCTCGTGTGCATAAGTTAAAAAGTTATGCAATTACTTCCTTGATCAATGTCTAAATAATAAATTTAAGGACTTTCAAGAGTAAAAGTACTTTGCTAGTATGTGGTAAATCCAAAAGCTTTCTCCTTTCCAGTGAAAACAAGTTCATTAGCATTTGAGTTGTCCATTGGGTGTGGTAATTCCTAAAATGCAGAATTTGCAAGTTCTTACCTCCCACTTACAGTGCTTACAAATAGAGTACCTCACCAAAATGGTGGTGGTGGTTTTTTAATTTATAGAGGTTTTTCTTTACCTCTGACACTACTTTTTTTTTTGAGAGGTATGGCTAAGCAGAGAATAAATAATTAGTTTTCTTCTCAGCTCTGTCAATTATTGCTTGATTAAGATTTTAAAAAACATGTTTTGAAGGAAGTTCTGTGAAGCAATATACTCCATTTTGACAGACTGAGCTATTTTATGCGTGCTTTATGTTCAATTTATTTCCCCCTCCGTTATTTGGTACAACAGGACACAAGGAATGTTGGACCTGTGGAGGAACCACTCCAGGCAGAAGAGAAAAATAGATCTGCAGATATTTCAAAACAAAAAGAACAATGCCTTGTACCATGTGATGCTCAAGCTAAAATTTTACGAGGGGACAAACATTACATGTGCAGTATGTATTCATAAAGAATACTTTTAGTGATGAGCTGTGCAGTGCTATGCTATGCAATCCTCTCCTCTGCTATGCTATGCTGTGCAAATTTGTTTTTTAATCTTGAGCACATGTGACAGCCTTGTGACCCTGCTGCTCAAACTGTGTGTTGTCCATAAAATCTGAGGTACCCTTTCTTAGGGATGCAGCTGGTGTCACAAAGTATAATCATTGGTGAAGACAGGCAAATCCAAGCAGCCACACAACCCACCTACAGCTGTTGCCCTCTGAATGTCAGCATTTCTCTCAAGCAGAGAGGAAGAGGAGGATGTCTGTTCCTCATTTAAACGTCATAGCTGGATGTGGGGGTGTAAGTGGGATGTTAATTAATTAGTTAGTTACATGGGAGTAAATGTGTACTTCACCTTACTTTTGTGGAGGCTCACAAAGGATATTCTCTATGCACTGGCTTGATAAACTATACAGCAAATTATACAATCAGCCTCTGAAAATAATTGTGCAAATTCTTGTTTTTCACATATGATTTGAAAATATATATTATTAATTATATGCCATTATGATGATCATTATGATTTTTAGCATCAGGGCAAAAACCAGGAGTAGGACAATGAATGAGCAAATATAAGGTGACAAGAAACCTTATATATATCTGCCTTTTATCATATGCATTTATATTTCTATGATATTCATTAATGAGTTGTCAAGTTTTCCCAAGGAGAAGATTAATTTCTTCTCCAAAACATGAGAAGAACCATCACTTCTTAAGATGTCTGTACTGCAATCAGAAAGTCTGAAGTTTTTAGCACCTTTGGCTTTAATCTGTGGATTCTGTATTACTTTCATTTCACTTTTAGGTGTTGTAAGGTAAAACACCTTCAGTATTCACTTAGATGTCATAAATAAATATGCTGTAATTTAGTCAAGAATATTTCTAGACTTATGAAAACAAAGTGGATGAACATATTTCTTTTGAAGGAAATTTGCAGAACTCACTTGCTGAATATGCCAGAAGTACAAAAAAACTGGTAAGAGACATGATGAATGATCAACAATCTTCGCTAGATTACCTTTCTAATCAGGTACTTTTTTCCTTTATTATAAAGATTTGTATTTTTTATTTCTTACATCAGGTGTTATCGTTCTGAGGAAAAATAGGGGTCATTAAACCATTAAATTGTCATTAATTCACCAGGATTAGAGTGTCTTATCACCAGTCCTTGTACCTGTGGTAGAGTGTGACTTCAATTCCTGTGAGGAGTGGTAAGCACCCCATTTCACAGCTTAGTGTCATACATTGCAGTAGGGAAAGTGGAGGACCATCCTTCACATTGGTACAAATTGCTACGCATCACAAAACTTAACTTCACATTATGTTTACTAGGAGTCAGGAAAAAAATCTTTAAAATGTAAAATTTCTCATTGCAACCTAATTAAAGATCTTTTATTTGAATTTGCAGGTAAATGAACTTATGAACAAACTTCTTCTTTTGAACACTGTAATTCTGAGAAAACATCTGGATCCACTTCCTTATAAAGCAGTTCAATCTCATGGTAAGTATTTTTCAGATATAGTCTTGACACCTTCCCTTTTCATCTTTGTATCTTGAAAAGGAGCTAATTAAAGCAAAGGTAATCAATTGTACATTGACATTTATCCTGTGTTAGTAATATATAAACTCTGTAAACTTAATAAACTGTTTGAAAGTTTTATCATAAATACTGCTTTAAATAATTTGCAATTGAGAACTCCGGGCATCCCATTTAGCATGCTGATTTTCATGTAAAACACTAAGTATGATTTTTAGCTAGTAAGTGATCTGAGGCTGCTGAATAGTACATTCTTTTGCAATGAAATTAGGTGTGCTCTGCATCTGCAGTATCCTTCTTCAAATGGAATATTTTTCATGTGTACTTTAAGATGGAAAGGCCTTTACAAGTATAAATATCTGTAGGAAAAAGACTTATTTTCTCAGATAATATGTCTTTTTCACAGTACAGGTGTTATAAATAAAATGAAAAAAATCTGTAAATTTACCCAGATACATAATCTTTATTTTCATATAGGTATGTATCATATCTATTAAGATTAGAAAGAACTGCGTCAATACAGTGTCATTTGTAATAACTTAGAAGTGGAATGGTGTTTGGAGAATTTTAATTTGCAAGATAAATTCATGACAAAGCATGATTTTAATGTTTTCATGAGAAGAAAATTATATTTTAAGTAATTCACGCCACCACAAAAAGTAATTTTCCTATATTAATCTGTTTTTTTAAAAATATTTTGCTCATGAACTTCCTTGAGTACCTTTTCTCTGTAGGTTTGGACTGCACTCATATTAAAGATACTGTTGGTTCCGTTTCAAAAACTCCAAGTGGTCTGTACATTATCCATCCAGAAGGATCAAATTATCCTTTTGAGGTAATGCATTTATTATTATAGTCATAATTTGATTGAGAATATACATTTAGTATATTTTTAATAGACGTAAAATGTTTTCCATTCATCCTCAACAGATGAATAAAAAATGTATTAAATCATCTGCACATGTCTGCTTTTACTATAATTTTGACAAGTTTAGTATTTTCTACAAAGAAATTTACTCTCTGTCATAAGAACCCATTGTCATTGTTTTCATATGCAGTGAAAAATACCAGAAGAAAACCCAAGGTGTTTTCCAGCACCTCCTGGATATGGAGACAAGCTGTTCTTTTCTCTTTTAGATATGGAAAACTGAAGAGCGAATGACTGATCCATTTGTCTTTTAAGATGGGACTTTTAGATTTTGAGTGATTCTGCTGTGTAACATTGCCTTGTCTTGTGATGGGACTCTGCTGATGCAGATTCATCCAGGTGTAGGTGCAGATGTGCCTTGGTTTGGGGAGTAGAAACCTTGTCTGAGTATCATTACAATCAGTCTTGAGGCACAGAGGCATCTAAAATTGTGGTTGTCCTATCCAGTTTGCAGGATTTATATTCCTAAACCAAGGATATATATCCCTAAAACAAACTGCAACAATCATGCTTCTTATCACTGCCTATGCTTTATGTAATTGCTCAGATTAATAGTGCTCATATAGAAGTAGGGAATTTTGGGTTAATTTCCTCAGACTCAGAATATTAAGATCCTTGCAAACACAAGGAATATTTTTTTAATGCGTTTATTTCCATTTCATGTTGTTCTATTTAGAGAAGGCCTTATGCATAGTCGAAATGCAGATACGGCATTTTCAAACCTTCAACTTTGCCATACAGGTTGAAGTCATTATTTTTTGAAGAAAAAACAAGGAATTTAAGCCAAATAATAACTAGCAAAGTTTAATATCTAACTTTATGTGTAACTTTATGTGTTCCTTTATGTGTAACAAAGGAAGGATGAATCTCTTTATTTCTGGCCAAGTGGAGCCCTTCAAAAGGCTATAAAAAGGAGCTTAAACTGGTTAAGAAAAGGTTTCAGAATTATGCTGGCATCCCGAAAGAAAAAAATGAACTTGATTCTACAACCTTTGATATAAAAACCTGTCATTCTCTCCATACAATGCAGTGAGCTCAGGAAAATGATCTGTAATTCATCGTTAAGTCCCTTCCATGTGAAAGAAAGGCAAAGACATTGCAGTGTTCACAGAACAACCATATTTTTAGTATGAACAAAGGCTACCATAGGAAAAAAATGCATCTATTTCAGAATTTCTTCTGGATTTAGCGTGATTCCAGAAATACAAAAGAAAAATCATAGCAATTTGATTAAAAGAACAAGGTAACAATAAATAAGGAGAAGAATGTTTGCAATCATGAGTGTCTCATTTCTTGTCTGGTAAATGTTGCACGGAACTTGAAAGACAGTGCCGAAAAGCTCTCAGAGAAAAAATTTCTAAAATATGTCTTCCATAAAGAATGTTATTTTAAGGAAAACTATTTAATGTGAATTCTTTCATGTGTTGAAGCATAAAAGGAGTACAATAGAAATGATAGATAGACAAAAATATCACGACATTAGAATATGAACAAGAAATTATAAAGCATCCTTTGGAGGCTAATAGCTGAGTTCTAAATGTCCTGCAGACCAGCAAAACGAGAAAAAATACAGAGGCAGAAAACCATAGTAAGAAACTAGAAAACAGGAAACAAAAACCCAACATGAAACAATTTATTTCAATGAGGACCTTTGCAGCAATAAGATGCCTTTTTATGCAATGGAACCTAAATGAAAATATGTTTAGAATAATATGCATAAAGATATCAGTGAAATGAAAACTATTTAGAAAATGTGATCCCATTCTTATTTGTCATATTTGATACATCATGTTTCCAAAAGTGAGTATAGATTTTGATGCTTAACTTGGGCTAATTGAACTCCAAATGCCAGGAGCAATAAGAATACCTATCTTTAGTGATAGTGGCAGGTTTCTGTCACCTCTGAAAGTTACTCTCAAATAGGCTTTCTCCTGAGCATTTATTCATGAGGTGATTAAAACCAATTTTACTTTTGGAAAGATGAACCATGACCAATTTCTGATACATTTTTCAATCAATAAATTTAGATCAACGATATTTCTCAGGTGAATCAGACACACTAAACAGTTGTTTAGAATATACCTCTCATACACACTGCAGGTGGAAAGGGAAGAAATATCCAGTAGAAGTGTCCTCCTTCTCATTTAATTTAGGTTGTACCTGGCACAATCATGCCCTTCATACCTGTCATGATATGAGATAGAGCAAACTGTAAAGCAGATGAACTATTATAAGGCTTTACAATTCCAACATTTTCATAAAGCTTTAAGAAAACTACACAGCTATAAGTGTATTTTTCTGTATCAATCTAATATTTTTATTTAGCTTGTGTATGTATTGGGGCTGTATCTAAGTATCTGATGATCTTTCATGTAGAAACATATCTGCTCCTTCTGTGAATTATCAACATTCGCACTGATTTATGTTGGGCTGAAGGTTGTGACCAAGTGGGCTCCTCCTCATAGTATTTCTGAGTCATAGTCAGAGGGGTAGCCAAGCATGCAATCATCTTCTCAAGACAGTGGATGAGGCAATAGGATTATTTTTATTGAGGTTTAGGTATTTTCATCTAAATATTCATTTTGGAATATTCTGTATTTCTTTTTATTCCATTCCTATCCTCCTTGGGTAACTGAGATAAACATGTGCTTCTCCAGGGAATAAAGGTCAGATTTTTTTTTTTTTATGCACAAGAATCTTAGTATGATTCATTGAGTATTTGTTTTGCAAGAATTGCCTGAAGTATCTTACTTTAAAATCCAGGATCCCTCAGGCTGTATTAGATCAAATTGCAGCTCTGTCCCGTTGCTTTCTTGTCATTCATTCAGAAGATATTGTTAAATCACAGAGGCTCTGCCTACGATGTCAATGTTTTCCTGCTAAGGAGCAAGTCTGGTTTCCTGAAAAATATCTGGCTACTACAGGCCATGGAGGTGCAACATTTTTTGTTGAGGGTTAAACTGACTTATATCTAGTTTCCACTTTAATCAGCTGGCTAAGACTGCAAATCTCTCTTCTCTGAAACATGTTTCATTTTGTACATTTCCTGTAATGTCAGAACAATTTCTTACTTTACTCCATCACTTGTGCATCGGCTTAGTGTTATCGCAGCCAACATTATGTTCTGAATTTACTTTTGTTACCGCAAGAAGCTTACTGGCTCACTAGCCATAGGCAGTTTCCAGGTTAATTCTCCTGATATTAGTCACCTTTGGAGACAAAAATGAGTACATTTTCAAACACTAATTATGGATACTATTCCTTAGAACTACATTGAATATCTTATGTAGTACAGCGTATAACTGTGCAAGATGATCTTTCTAAATTAGATTCCCAGACTTTATAATCCCAGTTAGAACTGATCAAGATTTGGCACCGTGGATATACTTAGGAAAGTCAATTGCAAATCTTAAGTTAGATGGGCTGAGGAGAAAACATGCCACACAATGTGATATTCCAAAGCAGAGCAGATGGCAGGTGGACCACTGCCATTTGACATACTGCTGGGCACAAATTTTAGCAAAGACTCATAAAGACTCATAAATTTGAGAGTTGATCTTATGCATTCAGTGGTTTCAGGCAGTTATATGTTCACATTGGGACTTCCCTGGATTTGGGCCACTTCTTATGTAGAGTTTTTTGCTGCTGCAAATTATTGTTATATGCTGGGTTATTGCTGTTACTGTTTTCCATTTCCTCATCCTTATTAAAGGCTCTAAATTTCCCAGGCACCACAAACACAGTATTCTCTGGAAGAAGGCATGGTGGTGACAGAGAACATATAAGCAGTTGTGTCTATTTTGCTTTGCTGAAATAGAAGTTTTTTCAGTGTTGCTACCTGTATGGATGATATGTTGCAAGTTGACATGACATTGCAAGTTGCTTCCCTTTCATGCTATAAATGTTACAGTGACATTTATCAAAGCTTATTTATTATATCTGTTATGAGCAGACTCTTACAGCAGTTTCTACTGGTTGAAGAAATATCCAAATCAAACATTCAACAAGAACATATAAGAAAGTACTGCAGCTTCATTTTTTTTCCTTAGAGCTTTTTTAAAGGATATTTGAAAAGTATGTTACTTAGCAAAACTCTGAATAGTCCACCTTTATTTAATTAGAATGTGTTTTTCATAAAAGCTGCTTCAAGAATGCTTAATCATATCTATATTTATTTTAGGTTTTATGCGACATGGATTTTCGAGGAGGAGGATGGACTGTGGTTCAGAAAAGAACTGATGGAATTGTTCAGTTTCAGAGAACATGGTCTGAATATCTGGATGGATTTGGTGACCTTACTGGTATTAATTTTAATACTCTAAAGTGATTTTATGTGAGCTGTATTCCACTAAATTGCATGGTAGTTTTAGCAGAATGAAGTTCTTGTTTCTTAAAAGTCTTATTTTTACTTAAGGATTTTTTCATCAGATCTGTTGTGTGATCTTCTCAATAATGACTATTATCCCACTATAGTCTTTAGATATTGCAGTCTCGTTTAAGAGTGTTTAAAATACTATATTTTCTGCTTGAAATAATAGATTGTATTTCCTCTCTTTTCAGATTTAAAGAAAAAGTGCCTTTGTTGGTTTGAATCACTTTTGCAAAATATTTCCTTAGAGCAGAGAAAAATCAATAATATTTCACCATAGGGCATGCAAAGCTATTAACAATGGAAATATTTTAGTAGCATATACCAACACACCTGAGATATTAATTTTTTATTGCCACCCATAAATAAATCTAAACCCATTTGCTTTTTCAGATGTTTATCTGAAATTGCAATGGAAGCACGCAGCTTTTCTGTACAAAGAAGTGCAGCTCATGTGAGGCTACAAGTGTGATTTATGGAGGCAGCAAATCTTGACAACAGGGTTTAAATTTTGAGAATAGGGTTTGCATGTTTTTTGCATTTCATAGAGTGCTAACATTTATCATTTCTCAGTATTGCCCTTAGGAGTGCTACTGAGTTCTGTTCATGCAAGTGGATCTTTAGCACATTCAGTTTTTGTGCTCTTCTGTCGTTCCCCCCCTCACGCAGCCCCCCGAATAATCCAACTAGCTCAGAGATAAGGGGCTGTGAGGGGAGGAATATCAGGAGAAGGGTAAAGATATTCAAAAGAGGCTCTTACCCCAGGAGGTTGGTACAGCTCTCTTTATTCTGTGTTGTCCATGTGAAGAGTAGGGCAAAAGAGAGCGAACAGGAAATGTCAGGGGTCTATATAGGTTTTGCACAGGGTGGGCTTTCCTGGCTCTCCGCCAACCCCGTTGGGGCAGGAAGGAGGATCCAGGGGTTATCTTGATCAGAGTCACAGGGTCCCGGGGAAGGGGAAACAGAATGCCCATGAGCTCACTGAAACAGTCTTCTAAGATATATTGCAGACAAATATTTGAAATCAATCATCTGGGCAATTTTCTAAAAAATGTCACGGAATAAAAAAGGATGATGCACACGCGGGTTTTCTTAGGGATTTCCTAAGGAAATAAGAAGATTACTCTGTTCCTTCATTAGTCTTTCAAAGGAATATAAGCATATCATGCAACTTTATTTACATTTGGTTCAGGAATGAAAGTAAAAAAACAGGAACAATCACTTTCTCTTTTACAGTTTCCATTTCTAGACTATATATTATATTTCTCTTCAAGGAGAATTTTGGCTTGGACTGAGGAAGATTTTTGACATTGTAAATCAAAAGGCCACTCATTTCAGTCTTTATGTGGATTTGGAATCAGAAAATGACAAGCATGCCTATGCATCATATGATGGATTTTGGATAGAGGATGAAGCATGTTATTTTAAGATCCATTTGGGGCATTATTCAGGAAATGCTGGTAAGAACTTCCTGCTTTGAAGTGTTTAAAGGTAGTTGTTCCCTTTCTTAATATGAAAAAAATGCATCCAAAATAATAATAATTAACTTCAAAAATTTTATTTCTAATGGGTTTTTCTCTGGTATATAATGAACATTTATGCAGATAATTTTTTAATTATATGCACAATTAATTTAATTAATTATAGATATTATTACTGCTATGCCTGTAATAAAAAAAAATGGAATGGGTTATATAAAAAATAAATAACGGATTTTGTGGGTGTTAGTGTTTATTTACCTAATGTACAATTATTTAGATGCCTATTATCTCATAACAGATGTTATTGGCAGTCTTCTTGATGATGCTTTGGATAATTCAGAAGTGCCCAGATAGTCATGTACAAAAGATAGAGGAAGCAACTGAGTGGAACAAAGCTGGCCTACAGTGTATAATAGTTGCTGGGTGATACATAGATACAAATTAATTCCAGACCCCCTTAATAGAATAAATATATTAAACGTGCAAAAATTTGCATTAAGCATTGCATCATGTCTTACTGCTTTTTTCCATGTTTTGCAAGAATGGTCCTTATTATCAATTAAATAGTTACTTTCTAAAAGTGTTGGTGCTCTACTCTGTATTTTTGAAAAATACAATTTCTTCAGTAAGTTCTTTAGTAAGACAACAGAGACAGTAATAACTGACCTTTTTGTGTTTTAACAATTCCATCTTGTTTCATGACTCACTTTGTGACTTTGGGCATGTTAGTGGAAAATCTGAAGTTTCAACCCTTTTTGTTTACTTTTTTCTTCGTCTGTCTTTCAGAACAGAAGCCTTTACCTTCATAGCCAGCATGCATTGCTAAAAGCAACAAAAATACAGGAATTTAATTGAATTTCAACTTCTTCCATATTTCTCAGCATTTTATTCTTTTCTTTCCTGCATCTTCTGCACTTTTACATTTCATTAGCTGGTGCTCTTGAAGCGCTTTTGAAGAATTCTATTTTTCTAGTAAATTCAGAGGAAAAGTTTGCACAGTGTACATCAAGTAAGAAACATTTCTCTGTAAATAACATTTTTATCGTTCTGTTTTATCTCTTGTACTTAGGTGATGCATTTAGAGGATATAGAAGAGAAGATAACCAAAATTCCATGCCTTTCAGCACTTTTGATGTTGATAATGATGGATGCAGGCCAATGTGCAGTATTAAAGGACAGCCAGTAAAGAGCTGTAGTAACTTCAGTGATAACACCGGATGGTGGTTCAACAAGTGTGGCCTTGCAAATCTTAATGGTGTTCATCGCTACACAGGTAGATTCCTTGCAACTGGCATTCACTGGGATACATGGACAATGAACAAAAAACCAGTCAAAATTAAATCAGTATCAATGAAAATTCGGAGAACCAATTATCCATATTTCCATTAATATATGAAAGTAGAAATATATCTCTCTTTGCAATTCAGTGAAATAATGTATCACTATAATCATAAATAGTTTTCATCTTCACTCGAACAGTTCAGTCTTAAAACTTTATTAGACATTTCTATAATACAGTTACTAAATTTTATTATGAAATGTCAGCATTTATAGTGTTCCAGCTTGAGGAAGAAGAGCCTAAGAACTGGGTTTTCAGGAAAAGGATTAAGCTGAGGGTCTGTCAGCTTTTATTCAACTGCTTCTTAAAAATTCTCAGAACCAGCAGAAAAAATTATAAAAAGAAGTGTAATGCTGACTTTTGAATGTGCTCTTTCTATGCTCTCTACATATCTAAATTGGCAGGAAGTTTTAGCAAATTTTATTTAAAAAAAAATATGTACCTGCCATTTTCATTGTAATATTTTGGAAAACTACTACATCTTAAGTTAGATTTCCGGCATCAGCTTTTGTTTCTATATTCCTTATCAGGCAAGATAACAATTGTTTCAATGTATAAATAAGGTTTTGTATATCATAATGGCCCGATTTTTATACAAGTATTGTTGATAGTGACATTCAAGAACTAAGACCAATTTTATATTTAATTTTCATAGTCAATGTATTTCATAATCCAATTTTGACTCTACCATTGCCTATTTCAGAATTGACTAAAAATTCAAACTTTTTTCCAAAGAAAATGTATAGCTTTTAATATAACCTGTGCAGTTTTAATTTTTGGATATATGGGCCTGATCTTATGTTTTTCATTCTTAATGGCTGTCACTTCATGAATGATCATGTGGTAATGAATAAAACCAACTTAAAACTAAGTTTTAAAAATGAGGATTGTGAATTCTTTGAATTTCTGTCAGTAAAAATAGAAAAATATCAATAAAAATGTGAATATTGTCAGTACAGTGTTTCTTGAACTTAGCATCAAATCTGTAGCAGCTAGGCATGATATTTCTCATCTTTGCTTCAGTTTCAGCAGACCAGCTCTGTAATATCATGTGGAATGAAAATAGTTTAAAATTCCATTAATTTCCTCTTTGCTGTTTTTCATTTTAACCAACCATAAATACACTGAGCAAAGACCATCATCAAATCAGAACCACCACAATTTAGGACTTATTCCCAAAGATTTATGTAGCCATAGGAAGAAAGGGAGCTTTTCATCAGGTATGTTACAAGGTTAAGGGGGAGAAAAGATTCTTCCTTTCTTGTCTATTTGACTAGTCTTTAACAGTTGGAAGTAAAAGTTGCTAAAAGCAGAAGGTTTCCTCCCTGTTAGAGAGAAATTAAAGAGTGTCCTTATGGGGAGGCTAATAGGAGAAGCACGGTAGGACGTAGCTTGAGGAAAAATACCACAGGCCTTGTAGTGAAATGTGGATGAAAAATTAAATTCTACAATTCTAATAAAGATTTGCAGGGAATGGTTATGTTTATTTACAGCATTGTGGACGCATGTCAGGACTCATTGCCCTTTAATGGACATGAGTACCTCTAAGAACTCTTGATCCTTTTTTATTACTTTTACTAATTTTTATATGCATAGAATTTTACCATAGGTTAATGCATATTTATTTTGCTGATTTTATATTATATTTACAGCTAGTTACACTTGTACTCAGTTTTTGTTAGAAAGTACAGAAAGAATTCTTGGGTGACTTTGCCCTGTCTGTTTTAAGGTCTGAGGAGTCTTTCTTATTTCTTTTTTTTTTTAGTGTGGAAATTTGCATTTTTTTTTCTTTAGCTGGGGTAGTTTTGCTAGGGCTGCAGTTATTAGACTAAACAGCATATTTAGTAAGCTTAAAGTGGCACATTTCACCTAAATTTAAATGGATTTTTGCTTTGTTAACTTTGTCTCAGTAGAGGCATGGTAAGAAAGGGTATAGGTCCTGCTCTTGGGGGAGACTGAATTCTCTCAGCACAGTGGGGGTTTGTTTTTGTCAGACACTGAAGTCTTTGAAATTAAAGGTGAAGAGATTGTCTAGTACACCTTCTTCAGCCTGCCCTCACACCAGCCTTATTAGGAATGCAGCTGCTCTGAACAGCAGCCTGGACCCAGCAGACTTATAAAGGTAGATGCTTAAATGAAAGAGCTTCTGCACTAAGATTAACAAGCACTGGAGCTTAGAAAGGGTATTAATTCTGGCTGCAAGTCTGTCAGTGGGTAAATTTCATGGAAATATAATGGCTTTAATGAAACTTTGATGGTGTGGCCTCTGTTCTGATAACCAGATCTGAGCCTGTGGGCAGGAGTCTAAGTAGGTACTTTGGATGTATATAGCTATATTCTACTGACACCCCGAGGCTGCTTTTGGCTTAATTAGAATTACTGCTTAAAAATGAAGGTAGTAAATGAAGATTGCAGAATTGTGCTGGCAGATATTACCACATTTAATTATGAGGTTTAATCTCTCCTTTGTCAGCATTGGCTAGATTAGCTGGCAGCAACAAATCTTAAAGGAGATGGACCTGAAAAGATAATTAAAGAATCATTCTTGCAAATATACATTGTTCTAAAATGTAGAGTATGCCTAGAAAATCAGAGTGCTAGAGATTAGTTGGCAGCTTCTTGCATATCTTAAATACAACAATGAAAAGAGACCATTTTCCATGTGATTGATGGCTATTTTCTTCAAAGGTTCATTCAATTTCCTTCCTAGTAAAAAACAAAACAAAACAAAACAAAACAAAACCCCAAAAAACCCAAACAAAAACAAAAGAAGGAAAACAAATAATTTCTTTAGTTAAACACAGAGAATTTTCAAGGACATTAAACTGCTTGCAGGGACCTCTGTTTCATATTTGCAGCTGATGGTTCCCAACTGTCATAAGATAGCATAAGATTTGTGTGGCCATTTTTAGGACTGGTAATCAGTTGTTTATTTCCCAAACAGTCTTCTTTCAACTATAATATAAGGGAACATGTAGGGTGTAGCATATTAAGAGGAACCAATTGAGTGTTTCAAATAAAGAGTACCTTGGTTTAACTGCACTTAATATCTTCTCCAGGAATGATACTTTAAACTATGAGCAGTTGCCATTAAAAGACACATAATCTCTGACACTACAAAACTGCACTTCTTTTGTTTTCTTTTTCCAATAGTATGCCTTCAGTTTGTAAATCTCAGTTTGGTGAACTCAAATTGTTTAGTTATTTGACCATTCTGGTCACAAGAAACCTTTCTGGTGACTTTAATTTTGTTTTGCATGTCTCCCTCTGAAGTATGCCCTGTATTGTCCCATTGGCAAACTAGAAGTCTGCAGAGACAATACCTTGGCACGGAAGAATTGCCTTGTGGGATTTCTGTCAGTATGGCTGTATAGAGAAATTAAGTTATTTACAGAAGGGGTACTGGAGACCTGCACAGCCAGTTACAGGCTGGGTATTGATCTGCCAGTTGTTCTGATCTATAAACAGAGGATGCACATCATTTAGCTGCTCATTGTAAAATGAGTTAAAATTGAGGAAAGAAAAGCATCTATGGCTTTCAATGGACACAGATTTTGCTGACATGTTCTATATTTATCAACCAGAAGCTAGGTTGTTACTTTACAACATGTTCTAATGAATATTTCTTTTACAGAACAGAGCAAATGATACTGTACTATTCAGAATTGTACAAAGATATAATACAAATATAGAAGGGAATGGTCCTTTAATTACAGGAAGCTTTTTTGCTCCATCATTTCAATTTTTAGCTCTGTGTGTGTAGAAATCACACATGAGCAGACAAATATGGGTATGTATTTCCAGTGTAATTCTCAGTGAGACAGAAGGCTGCTGATACTCGTATCAAAGGCGCTCACAATCATGTTTTCCATGTGTTAGCCTCCATTGATTCAGCTTTTCTCCAGCCTCATCTGATCTGACAGTTCTGGGCTTTGTGCTGGTGGCCGGGGGCTCACAGCCGAGGCTGTCTCACACGAGCTTCCAAACGCGGCGGGGCTCGCGGGGCAGCGCCAGGGGGCGCCAAAGCGCCGGGCGCGCCGCCCTCGGCTTTTCTTTTCTTTTTTCTTTTCTTTTCTTTTCTTTTCTTTTCTTTTCTTTTCTTTTCTTTTCTTTTCTTTTCTTTTCTTTTCTTTTCTTTTCTTTTCTTTTCTTTTCTTTTCTTTTCTTTTCTTTTCTTTTCTTTTCTTTTCTTTTCTTTTCTTTTCTTTTCTTTTCTTTTCTTTTCTTTTCTTTTCTTTTCTTTTCTTTTCTTTTCTTTTCTTTTCTTTCTTTCCTTTCCTTTCCTTTCCTTTCCTTTCCTTTCCTTTCCTTTCCTTTCCTTTCCTTTCCTTTCCTTTCCTTTCCTTTCCTTTCCTTTCCTTTCCTTTCCTTTCCTTTCCTTTCCTTTCCTTTCCTTTCCTTTCCTTTCCTTTCCTTTCCTTTCCTTTCCTTTCCTTTCCTTTCCTTTCCCTTCCTTTTTTTTCCTTTCCTTTCCTTTCCTTTCCTTTTCCCTTTCCCCTTTCCCCTTTCCCCTTTCCCCTTTCCCCTTTCCCCTTTCCCCTTTCCCCTTTCCCCTTTCCCCTTTCCCCTTTCCCCTTTCCCCTTTCCCCTTTCCCCTTTCCCCTTTCCCCTTTCCCCTTTCCCCTTTCCCCTTTCCCCTTTCCCCTTTCCCCCTTTCCCCTTTCCCCTTTCCCCTTTCCCCTTTCCCCTTTCCCCTTTCCCCTTTCCCCTTTCCCCTTTCCCCTTTCCCCTTTCCCCTTTCCCCTCCCCTCCCCTCCCCTCCTGATCATCTCGTCCCCCCACTTAACCTGACACTGTCAGATCCACCACTAAACCATGTCCCTAAGCACCACATCTACACATTTTTTAACTCCTTCAGGCATGGTGATTCCACCAATTTGTTTCAATGCTTGACCACCCTTTCAGTGAAGAAAATGTTCCTAATATCCAACCTAAACCTCACCTGGCACTATTATGTTCACAGACATTGTCACCCTTCACCAAAGGTTTCTGTAAACTAAATCTTGTTTTGCCTTGATAGCTTCCACAGGTATCTGCTCTAGGCTGCCATCAGGTGTGAGGCTTGCTTGTATGGATGTATGGATGAAGATTGTGCAGTTGGAATATGTGGGATGGGTAATCTTCTGTAAGTGCTCAGAAGCTGCATTTATAGAGATGGATGTAGGAAGCACTTCCTAGTTAAGGTGGGATGGATAAGCTTTGGCTGTGGTTTAATGTCACTGTGCTTAACTCCTCCTGTGCCTGGGTGCCTGCCAGACCCTCATTCCTCTGATGCACCTGACTTTTCATGAAGAAGTAATGCATGGCATTTCTTAGGCAGGCATTAGAGGACAGTTTGACCGGGTGCTGGTCAGAACACTCTTCAGATCAGGACTTGTGAGTTCACCATGTACCCACACTAAGGGCAGAGGGAGAAGATGTCACCCTCTCCCTCCTCGTGCCTCTTTTCCTGGACCATGTACAAAACATAGGTTTGTGTCCCTCAGCTGAAACAGGGCTGCAGAAACTATGAAATATAGAGGAAAATTAAGTCAATTTTTCCAGTCTCAGCTGTTTTGTGGTATTTAGCTGCAGACAAAAAAATGTCAAAATCCAATTAATTTTCTACAATGAACACATACAAAATAGAAATTTTTTTTTCTTCTTCTTTTTTTTTTTTTTTTTTTTGATTGCAAAACTAAGTACGCAAGTTATGAAACAGAACTCGACACAGGCAAACAAGTACAAAACTGAGTATTTAAAAAATAAGGTTTCATATTTTATGTCTCCTGCCTATGACAACAGATTCATTTTTCTATTTCCAGCTGTTTCAGCCTCATAATATTCAATAAGGTCCTCTTTGTTGCAAGGTTAAAAATTTTTCAAACTT